CCAGCGGTGCTCGGGCCCTAAATATTAGAAGAAAGCTTGTAAAGAACATATAAGGGCTGTGCACTTTTGTCCTTGGCTCCTAACAATATCAAACAGTCACTATATACAGTACAAATATAAATACAGCATGTATGCACAAAATGGCTATGGATTACATTTCGATCCTGACAAGATGCAGTTCTTGAAGCCATTTTTATTTGTTTACAACTGTTTGAATTTAATGATTGAGTCTCTGTAACCATATAAATGTATTCTTCTTGTTTTCTAGTGAACTTGCAGCAGCCCAGTATTTCCCACAGTGCTCCTGATGGATGGTTTGACGTGGGGCCTCAGGGGCCAGTGATTACCAGGGGCCACAATTTCACTATCATCTGTTCAACTCAATCTCAGTATCCTGGAGGATCTTTTCACCTATTCAGAGGATCAAGCATCACCAGGACTGAGTCAGCCGTCAGTCACTCTGCCTCCTTCTTCTTTCCTGAGGCAGATTATTCACACGAGGGAAACTACAGCTGTGTTTATGAAGTCAGTGTCTCCTCACGCTCCTTCCGTTCATCTGCCTCTGAACTGCTGCTCATCACTATCACAGGTACTGATGTGTAAGAGTCTAAATCAAAGCTGGACTGCTGGTAATGAAAGTTCAAACTCAAACACGTGTGTCTCTCTCAGCCTCCCTGCTTCCTGTCATTGGTGCTGCAGTGTCAGCTGTGCTGCTCTTATTGTCCTCCCTCATAATCATCCTCCTGCTGAAGAGAAGACAAAAGCAAAGGAACAAACAAAGTCATTTGAAGTGCTCTTTTATGAAAGGTAATGATTTTCATTCTATAAAAGAATCCAGATGTCTTAAACTTTTTTTTTTCAACTGCTTAAACACATTTTCAAAACTTTGCCTCTTTTTTTTCAAAACTTTACACACAAATCCAAGAATTGCACAAAAAAAGCAAAATGCCTCACATCTCTTGAGGCACTGCATTCAGAATATCACAAACACATCTCAAAAGCAAATATTTGCAAACACCTTTGCCATAATAATAATTCCTGTTAGATTTTTGTGTGTTACATAGAGAATTGTGTGTTGTGTTTTGCAAAAAGTGTTTTATGAAATTGAAAACTGAGTCAAAGTCCGAGAATTAGTGTATGGTTTTGCAGATGTGGTGTGTGGTTCTGGTGTTTGAGTTTCATTGTGACAAGTAAAGATTTTGTGTGAAAGCAGTTGAAAAAAAAACTGTAAAACTGTTTCTTCCAAAGTCACCGTCTTTTTTTTTTTTTTTTACATTTTCCTTTAATTGTCCATCTCTATGCAATATCATTAGGTCAAGCTGCATCACATAATAGCAAAAATGAAGATGATGATGATGAGGCAGATTATGAAAATGTGGAACTTGATGAAAACATGGATCATGATGATTATGAACCGGACTATATTAATGTGGACTCTGATCATTCTGAACAGGACTATATTAATGTGGACTGACCATTCTGAAGAGGACTATGTCAATGTGAATATTACAGAGAAAAGTGTGGTGAAAGCTGTTGTGATTAATATTGAGTGAACCCAAAAACTACAATTATTGAGGCTCAAAACAGATTAAATATGGCAGCCTTGATTTGAATCAATTCAGTTGACAGTGTGATGAACAGAGAGACAACAGCATGGGATGCTGACCCCTAATACAGTGCATTCATTCTGAGCACTGCAGTGTTCATCACAGCCTGCTGCACATATTCCAACTGATAGATTTTTGTTTAGTGCATCCAGTGATTCAAGTGAACTGTGTCCCAGGGATATCAGATCACATTTAGTAATAAGTGAAATGGAGAGGAAGCTTTCTTTTAATGCGTGTCAAACAGAATATGTTTGTTTAATATTAGCAAAGATGCAAATTTACATTTATTCATTTAGCAGACACTTTTATCCAAAGCAACTTGCAAATAAGGAAAGCAATTTATCACAAGGAGGCAATAATAGGATAAGTGCTAGCAATACAAAGTTTCAAACATTGTCCAAAAGAATACAAGTTAGAAGGAGGAGGGATAGGGATGTGGATAGGAGGCTGTTCCATATGCAAGCAATGTCTCAATGTCTTGAAGTTGATGTGAGCCACAACCGGTAGCCAGTGTAGCGAGATTAAGAGAGATGTGATATGGGCTCTCATGGGCTCATTGAAGACCAGTTGTGCTGCTGCGTTCTGAATCATTTGCAGACATTTGATTGCACATGTTTGAAGTCCAGCCATAAGAGCATTGAAATAGTCCAGTCTAGGCATCACAAGGACCTGGAGAAGTTGTACAGCCTGCTCGGTTATGAAAAGCCTAATCTTCCTGATGTTGTGCAATGCAAAACTGCATGATCATAATGTCGTTGCAGTGTTTGAAGGTCAGCTTGTCATCAAAGATTACCGCAAGTTTTCTGGCTGATCTCGTTGGGAATATTGTTGATGATCCTAGCTGTATGGTGAAATTGTGCTATAGCATTGGATGAGAAAATGTCTCTGGTTACTGTTGTAACCTTGGTTTCCTGAGAGTGGGAACGAGACATTGCGGAGTCTCCACTTCAGGAACTTGTCTCCTTCCAAATTTTCCTGAAGTCCTATTGGCTCACGCCAGTCCAATTGACTGGCCAATTGTCACGAAGTATGCAAATCGCATGCAAATACTGACAAGCTCGAGAGGCAGTATAAAATGTGGTGCACGCGACAATTGTGTCAGAAACTGATACTGAACGCTGCCAGCTGGTCGAGCAGCAAGCACAGTGATCTCTGCAATGTCTCGTTCCTGCTCTCAGGGAACCGAGGTTACAACACTAACCAGAAAGATTCCCTTTCGAGCTTTCTCTCAATATTGTGGAGTCTCCACTTCGGGAACAGTGTTCAATCCAGTCGTGAGAGCGGCTACGAGCAGCCTATACAAGTTTATACATATCAGGGAGAGAACACACCCACATTTCCCTTAACCAATAGTGACATTTGTAAGGCAAGCTCTCAGCTGATAGGTGGAGATAAGCCAATGAACGTCTAAAACCCACGTATACTAAATTTGCATATCTGGCATGAAATCACGAGAAGCTGCACTGAATACAGGGCAGATACAACAACAACAATAGCATTGGGGGGCTGCACAACTGTGTTAAGCAGCCTAACAATAAGGGTAGCATAAATTGAATCAAGCACTCACCAATAGCACTTGGGATGCAAAGGACAGGACGTCCCGCTTGTAAAACCTAGCGAAGGTGTTCTGAGAAGACCAGCCGGCTTGTAGGGTATCAGAGCGAATCAGACAATTTAAAATTTGATCAGATTGGTGTTGAACAACCCAAAGAGCCGAATTCCACAAACAGGCCCAAGACAACAGGATGTTCGTAAATCAGATCCTGGCACCACGAGTCTGAAGTGAGCCTAACAAACTAGCAGCTTCAAACAGCTTTCAACATTAACACAAAAGAACACATTGATAATTTCAACTCAGGAAGGAGATTGTCAATTTTGGGGCAAGTAACCAAGATTGATGGTCAAAGAGATGCACAGCATGACCATCACATGTAAATCCATGATAGTAATCACAGAGCTAAAGACTTTCTTCGGATTGACTTCCCCCCACCTAGAGGACAAGAACCAGACTGAAATTCTTAATGAGACCTTTTAACCTTTTTGTGCCTCACAAAGCACACCCGCACGTCCACAGAACGATACATACGTAGATGCATCTAAAATCATCTTAAAAAGGACTTATAAATGAATATCAGTCCATTGCATAACTCTATATCATGTATATAACCCACATATTTGACTATCATGTCCTAATCACTTATTGTGTATGTATTTTGAATAACTATTGAATAGTTTATAGGATTATATTCATGTTGGGTATGTATGAGTTTGAAAATTCATGCTTTAAACTTTTCTATCAATCAATATTTCATAAAATATATTATATTCTGGTTATAGAAATCATGTCCAAATTATACTCTGCAAGAGCGGGAAAATTCGGACCATGTAACTGATCAGATAACATGTTGATTTATGTATTGGGAGGAGAAACATTGCAACACCCCTAGCTAAGACAATGTCTAATTGGTCAAGACACATTTTGGGATGTGTCCAACAGCCCGGTTTAAATACTCAGGACACCATCAAGTCATGCTTTTAGTCACTGCTTTTAGTCATGCTTTTAGGTTTTTTTCCTTGCCTTTTTGCCACCGCGTTTTGACACTGCTTTTTAGCGTCCTTTGAGTGTGCTCTAGCTTACATGCCAGCTGCTCCTCTAAAACCATGAGGAGAAACGCCATATAGTCTCGTCACTCTTCTTGCTGGTTTCTACTTTAGTTTATTTTCTTTCCGTTGAGAGTTTCGTGTTCTTCCCAAGACATCACTTCAACGACTACTGAACTTCCAGCCAATCAGCAACCTTGGGAAACCCCCTTTTCTGAAAGGAGACAAGGGAACCCCTTACACAGGCAATGCAAGTACCTCCAGATTCTGAACTGGTGCATTTAATATAAATTTTAACCTCATTGAGGAACTCAATGCGAGGGTTAATTAAGTGATTGATGGTTGTTCAGGTCTATGCAATTGCACATATTGCTATAAACTTGGGATTTCACATTTTCATTCTCTTAAACTCATTCTTTCCTCACTTTCTCTCTTCTTGCAACTTGTATGAATGTGTGAGTGCATGTGTTAGATTAGTTTATATTGCCTTAGATTTATCCAATAAAGTCTTATTCATATTGAAAATCATACATAGAAGTACATACATTCATACATTCACATAGAAGTATCTTGTGCTTTGTGCTTACAAGTTAATGTCTTAAACTAGAACATCTGACACAGAGCAAGCTGCCGGGTTGACACGTACATCCTGGCTGCTGGCCAGAGCGACGTCAAAGCAGCAACCAGCATGCCATACTGGGATCCAGCAAACCAGCAACCAGCATCCCATGCTGGGGACCAGCAAACCAGCAACCAGCATCCCGTGCTGGGATTCAGCAAACCAGCAACCAGCATCCCATGCTGGGATTCAGCAAACCAGCAACCAGCATTCCATGCTGGGATTCAGCAAACCAGCATCCCATGCTGGTCCCAGCATGCAAAACATATCTGATGCTGGTGACTAGCAATGCTGGATTTTTCAGCAGGGCACGCTCTCCATGGTACGTGCAGTACGGCGACAAGAAAAAGTGCATACATCTGCTCAGACCCTGACGTGACTATAAGCACTTTTCCATGGGCAACATTTGACTCTTGAGTCAGGGGGGGCAAGAAAAAAATTATATATATATATATATATATATATAAACTTATATATAAATAAATTTTTTCAGATGTAAGCATCAAAACAATGCCCTACCGTATTGTCCAGAATTAAATCAACATATTTTGTTCCGTCCATTGCCAATCACTGCTATTTCGAGAGTGAATCCCGCATAAATATGCAGAAGTCATTCCCGAAACTTTGCAGGGTGTAGCCTATGCGTCTGAAAAACAAAAGTTTCATACAAAGTCTGAATGGATTATACCCTAGAAAGTGGGTGAACGTGATTTCACCAAGTACAACATGTAAGGCGTCATATGATGCGATTTCAGTTTTTTTATTTTTCCTTTCTCTTTGAAGTATTACACTGGCCAATGGAGCTTACGCTACGCCTACGTACTGTCTCATTCGCTGGAACACCACTCACTTGTGAACGCGTGTATGACAGTTAGCGGAAGGTAGAGATCATGGTTTATAAAGTTTTAAATATGGATATTTTTCTTACTCAAACGCTTCACTTCAGAAGGCCTTTATTAACCCCCCAGAGCCGTGTGGAATACATTTTATGATGGATGGATGGATGGAAGACAAAATGTTTCTAAACTTGAACCCCCTAAACGTAAATCATTTCAGATGGTCTGACACTGAACTGCACATTGCTTTCTTATCATTTATTATTGTAAGATTAGGTAAAGTAAGTTGAGTCTGGCCCAAGTTATTAAGCATTTCAAATTACTTACAACTTGTTCTCCTTTGTGGTATGTTCTTAATCAAAGTCTTAAAACACTATAAATCAAAGCCTTGTTAGACAGTTTTTGTAACCAATAAAATTTATTTTAATTGGTTACATTTCTTTTTATAATAAACAAAAATATAAAGGCAAACAATACTCCATCATTGAAGTATAAAATACAATAATTATGGTTTCAATCAAAGGTGTAGTCAGCTTCTTGTCCTCAGCTCTGGGCTTTTAGGTATCGTGGGTACTGATGGTCTAAGTATCTGAAACAGCAATCAACTCAGTCTTTTACTCCTGTCATCTTCTTGACATAAGTTGGAATTTCCCAAAATTTCCAAAATCCTCCCCGATGCAGCATGGCCTCCTCTTGTCCTTGAACTCCGTTAAACTTGACCAAGATGGCTGAATTCCTTTTAAGGTTCTAGCAGCAGGTTCTGCCAGTGTTCTGGTATTATTCACTCCTCCTTCTCATGAGTAGCACACGCAACTGAAACAGTTATACATATACAGCATTTCTTGGGGGGAAAAAAGTACATAAGCAATGTGTTATGTTCAATACATTATCTCAATATGTTTGATAGATCTAAAATAAATAAATAGGCAGGGTAATTGAATTTCTTTGACTTTATACAACATGAAAATAATTGAATTTCAAAATGATTAGCTCAAAAAATAATTTTAATAAAGTTATGTGTTTTATACATTTAGACATAAGAGTTTAAAGTGAATCGAACTCAGATTGTTGGAGGCACAGCTATTATATGTTGGAGCACTGCCTGCTATTGCTCAGACAAACTATGAGAACATCACGAGGGGTGAGAACCAGAAGGGC